GCGGTGACGTCCGGGCGAACACAATCTCCTGGTAATCGTTGAGCACTTCCCGCAACTCCGGGTCCGTCATCTCCAAGAGGTCCTCTCCGGGCACTACAATGGAGGCCGTGTTGTTGCGAATCTGGCCGTCTGTGGCCAGTATTGAGATACGAGTGGAGCGCCGGTGAGAGTGAGAGAATATGCAAACGGATTTGGCGATAGCCTGGGCGGTGATAGGGTGATCGCCGGTGACCATGATCACTTTGATACCGGCGCTGCGGCACTTGCGTACAGCGTCGGGAACGGTAGGTCTGTAGACAACGGGAGCGGTAAATAACAAACACAGAAATAAAACATATATATAAATATACGGCATATATTGTATAGACATGTATGGTATATATGGAGGACAGGAAAGGGTGTATAAGTGGTGTCTGTGTTAATACCGGGGCGGGTCTATCATAGCGACGAGTCCGACAAAACGCAAATTCTTCAGTTCAAAGCCCATCTCTTCATCCAAATTGAATCTATGGTTTGCCGGGAATTGCGTGAACTCGTAGTCGCAAAGGGCGAGCACTCGGAGTCCCTGTGAACCCAAATCGCGATACGTCTCCTCAAAGCCAAACACAAATTCTTCGTCGATGGGCACTGTCTGGCCGTCGGGTGCGATATGAGTGCCGCACATCTGGAGTATGCGTTCGGGCGCTCCTTTCATCACCAGAAAGAAGTTGCCTTCCGTGCCATCGGCGCCGGGCGTCGGGTTCTTATGTATGGAGAACTGGTATTTGTAGGACGAGCTGAACGGCCGTTCGGCCACTTTCGGGTACTGACGTCTATACTCGCCGACCGACCCTATGGTCGACTCCATGAACCTCAATATAGCCGTCTCGGAGGCGTCGCCCGAACACTGGCGGGTCATTATGTTGTCGGCGTTGGTGTCCGTGGGGTCGACAAACTCGGCCCGAGAGCACAGTTGGCAGCACCGGCTGTACGCCTGCCAACACTCGGCTAGTAGTGACATCTGTTCGGCCACTTCCGACCGATCGTGGCTTACTTTGAGCACTTGGTCAGCGAGATAACAGTGCTCGACAGTCATCCGATTCTGGGTTAGTGTTCCGGTCTTATCCGTACAGATGGTGGACGTGGAGCCCAACGTCTCCACCGATTCCAGATTCTTGACCAAACAGTTCTTCGCGGCCAACCGTTTGGCGGTCATCGTTAGGGCCACAGTCAGCGCCGGCAGAAGGCCTTAATGTGTACCACATATTGGGCCCAAACACAAGAGATTTCTGTTAGACTTAACATGATTTTTATAGACATACATTTAATTAATGTCTAATTAATAACTAGTATTAGTACAACCTGTGTTATATATATCTCATGATTGCATATTTGCATTGAAAAGCATTATAAGAGTATACTATTTTAAATATGTATAGATTGAGATTTTGTGAACCAATTTTAATAATCTCGGATGTATTCAAACAGTTAAGAGTTGTACTTTATATTCACCTACTCAGTATTTGATTTTTCCTGAATCCGTGGAATTTAAACCAGAATATTTAAACTTATCCAAAATATTCACATTTTTGTTAATTATTCAATGAAATCCAATGGAAAAAGTTAACATAATAATAAAATTACAGAGAAAAATATGATTATGCAAAACAAAATATTATAATGAATTAACAACTTATACATAATGGTTAATCTACAGAATTAGTATTATCTTACTACACTTACAATTTCCCGAAATAGATAAGGTCACAAATTCTTTATCTACTCTTGTAATGCTTT